ATTTAATCATTATCTGGCCTTCCAGATCTTTCCCATGTTTGTGAAACAAGAACAAATGAAGAACTACCAGTCTGCATCTGTCCTAGAACACCAAAAAAGGCAAATTACTTTGGTACTTTTTTTTTTAAATAATTTCTACTTGACACTGTAGTAATGTTAAATATAGTTGTCACAGGTAATTATAAAAGCCTGTGGCCATTCATTCTACCCAAAATGGTAAACAAATCCCTGAAGTAAAAATCTAGATAGAAATAAAAATCAAGTGAAGGCATTGGAGTGGCAATATTCACCATATTCTCTTTTCTTTGATATTTTCATGTAAAACAGTGTATTTCACACTCCTGAGAAACATGGAAATACTGCAAGTTATATGAAAATTGAAAAATGTAAGATGATGCTATTTTCTAACTCCTTTGTGCTACATCAAGTACATATTACAGGGAAACTTAAACACGTTGTGGTCAAATAGGATATTACAATCACAGCATTAACTGCATAACCCAAGCATGTTTAACCATGTATGAACCATATTTATCGTGCTTTTAATGTTTTATTTTAAGTCTTTATTTAGGATAAAGATTTTTCTACAGCCCAGTGATACACTTCACTTGGGCAAGATTTCCAGTTACTGCAAACATTGAGACACTCACTGTAGAAACCATCCACCACCAGGCATCAACATGACTTCAAATTTGAATACCAGGTCTAATAAAAATTTGAAATGCTTAACTTGAGTCTATGTAACTTTAAGTTCTGACCAAAAATATTTTTATTTCTTGCGTCTTCATATTATGAATACAAAGTATTGATTTTTAAGAAGAAAATGTGGAGGAAAATTACAGCCATCAAATTGAACTCAAACTGTATTATCCAAAAACGTAGAGCAAACCATGGACCAGATTAATCTAAAGCAGTTTCCCTGTCAATGCCCACATTAACATTTCACTTTAAAGAGCTAAATTATAGAGCTGGCTTGATTGATAAAATAGCTTGAAAAATTATTTTTAAAACTAATGTTCTAAAATCAGCACAAGGGACTACATTTGCACATTTCACTGTTCAACAAAACACTTCTAAAACATTCTTAGCAAAGGAAAATGAACCTTTTGAAAACTCTCCCCGCTCCCCCAAACCTGGGTGAAGTGTTTGCATGTTCTCTACCACGCAAATGATTCACGTTCACCGGTAACTGGTTCGTACAGCCAAACACTTGATATATAATTGACTACCTATATACCTACACATAACTGATCAGATAAGCTTGATCCAAGATAGGTATTATGAAAAGCAACTTAATTTGACTACACTTTTGGCGAAGACAAAGGGTAAAGGAATTACACACCGAGGAGCTTTGTAGTGCCCACAAAATTCAAATACTTTAATGAAGACAACTGAACTTGAGTAAACACACGCTTACATAATACACCATGTTTTTCCACAGCTACCAGCATAATATGCCCTTAATAAGTTCACTCCGATTCACAAAGGACAAAATAAATCCCCATCAATAAAGGATTAAAAATGGCGCAGGTCAATTCCTGTTAACTTTAGCAAACATCAATCAACACTTTGCCAAAAATAACAAAAAAATCCCTTCCGATACAGTGTGTGCGCTTCCATTTCAGTTTCAAAGTCCTTCTGTTGATGTCACCCTTGAATATGGAGCGAAGATAATGCCTAAACCAGTCAGCAGATGAAAATGTATCTTGATTCCTTTCATGGCTCCAAAGAAGAAACTACAGCGGACACTTGCCTTATCCACATTTATTAACTTTGTAAAAATTCTAGCCTTAAATATTGTTGTGATTTATAAAATTAGACCACATCAAGTCAGTCAGGAAATTCTTTGTAAAAATTGTATTCTTTTCCTAAAAGTATTGAAAGGCAGCATAAAAATTAGAAAAGAAATTAAGAGACCTTTGATTTTGTTTTATATCAACTAGATAAATCATGAAGTTAGCATAACTCAACCAAATTAAAGAAAATTTTTTTACAAGTAAGTAGAACTACTGGGGGAGGCACTCCACATACTATTAAAGGAATGTCAAAAAGCTGTAAAGATAAAATAATTTGTTTTAAAATTTGGATCACTACTAAGATGTTCTGCTTACGTTTTGTAGAGAGCTATGTAATTAAAAAAACAGCCAAACAAAAACCCAAAATACCTATCTGAGTCTAAATGTGAATCCCAAACTTACTCAAGTTCTTGGAATTTCAGTCATAAATTGCAATTAAGAATATGATTTCACCCACAGGAAATCAGTGTTTTCAAATCCATGTATTTGAGAGGATAATTTTCACAATTAAATGCATGTTAGTTAATTTATATGCAATTTAAGAATGCACATCCAAGCATAGCCAATATGCCACAAATATATTTAAATTAGCGCCTCATGAGTGTTGGTCATATCGTGCCACCAGTGAAGTTTTTGCATTTCACCAGGGATCTCTCTTTAAAGACTGATGATACAGTGCAGTCATTTTCCCACATTTTGCATCCAGGGTATTTGAAATGTATCTTCAACTAAAATACACTGATGTTTACAACAAAGATTACATGGCTAACACCATCCTAAACATAACACATCTGTAACTCCCATTGCAACACTAAGGGCTGTGTCTTTAACAGCTCACTACCATCTGTATTGTTTAAATCTCTAAAAATGCCTCTTCCCTCATTCAAAGGCAGAAGGGTAACCTTTGTCACGTTTTCGTATGTGCCAAAATTTACTCCAGAGGTAACACTTAAGCAGTGCCTAGGTCAGCATGTTTTCCTTTAGAGCTGTTTTTAAGTACAGATGACAGAACCGCAAGTCCTGAATGTCTTCACTAAATACTGCATTGGTTGCTCTGGCTCAGGACTTATTCCACGCATCAGCTCTTAATTGGAGAATCAGTAATGCTTAGTGAAGGATGCGTAACTGATTACTAATCAAGTATTTATTTTTATATTTGTCCTTAGCCAAAAATACTAAATGGGTCAAAAGTTATTTCAGCTGGAAATGCAATTCTACTTCAAGTTCTCATTGACTTGAACTGGAGCAGAATCAAGCCCTGAAGCACAATAGCACATGGGGTTTTTTTCCCCAATCTGTCTTGCTCACACATCTTCCTGGAGAGAAATAAACCAACGACGACAACAAAAAAGAAGTACAAATCTAGCCAGACTATAGATTGTACCAAAAATTAAACCTATGAATTGAGCAGAGAAGGAAACAGGAGGGAGAAATTTTACACAATAAAAATTACACATAAAATACATTTACTTCTAAACCAGCAGTAGTTTCTTCTTCTTTTTTAAGCTTGTAACAACTTTTTCTACTTTTTTTTAAAGTTAGGGGTATCATTTGACCCCATTTAAAATAATGTGATGGTTTTATCAGAAATACTACTTAATTAAAAACCAGAGTTATTAACTTTTTATTTTAAACCAAAATGGACTATTACTTGTTTCATAGTCCACTAGGTCCTACTCTTTATCCCCTCCAAAAAAGAATAAGCTTTCCTCTCTATAAAATACCAAACAGTGAGTCAAATTTGACTAGATACAGTCAGCTTCTGTGAAAAAGAACTTTTGTAAACAATTTAAAAAAAAAAAATCCCCAGCCCTGTGAAAGCTCCACTTTATTTTTCTTTTATTCCAGAAACTAAAAAAATGAAACAGATGTACTATAGAGAATTGCAAAGGATATATGCCACTATTTATTTTACCCAAAATTCAAGGGGAAAAAAACAACCAACAACCAAACCAAAACCACATAAAATGAGCAACAAATGCCTCAGAACTGCAATACCTGCATAAGACAAATATTTCATGTCAAACTGGCATTCCATTTCTAAAAAGTTGCTCATTTTCACTAACTTACATCTACCAATTGAGCAATTATGCAATATGTGGGCGTACCTTGCAGTCGTTTTCTTAACATCTGCATTCGGTGTTAAATTCTAACTGTACAAGATGTCTGGTATTTTTTCTTTATCTTGAACCTTCAAAGTGGTAGGTTTACCAGAGGCAAAACCACACACCAGAGAATATGAGTCATATAATAAAGAAACGACTCTTCCCCTTCTCCCTCCTTCCACCTTGAAGCTATAATAACCTAAAGACACTCCACTGTAAATGGCTTCTTCAGTAATATTGATAGCATGAACAACTCACAATCATTTAGCCAATGAATGAAGATTTCTTTTAGTCCTTACTGTATCCATAACAAATTGCTCTCGATACCATTTTAAGCCAAAGTAAAAGTTGTGCTACTGCAAAAATAAAATCCCATACGATATTCAGAATGTCTATGCACTTCCTTTCATTTAATGCATAAAATATAAAACATTCTGTGCATGTTCCAATAAATAACAGCATAAAAAGATAAAAATAAACAAACATAAGATGCTTATGCAAGTTAATCTGAGAGGTATCTCTTATTTGTCTGTAAGAGTAGCCTCTATAGAGAAATCCTTAATTTTCTAAGGATTCCATATCAAAAGACGGCAATATTTACATACAAGTAAACCGCTGCCCATGCCAACTACAATAAATACATAAGGAAGCAAACCACCTTACTTGACCACCGTTTACACAAGTTTCCACTCTGAAGTGCAATAAGTATGGAAAACACCACTGAGGCCACTCTATCCTTTTATATCCTTTCTTGTAAGTAGACTTTAACTCAAACTGATATCCTGTATCTAATTCCACGTAGGAAACCAGCTTTCAACAAAGTCTTATTTGTAGTGTAAATTTTGAAAAGAAGAACTAAATGCAGAAACAGCACTTACAAACAGCAGTAAATAAATCAATAACAGTAAAACCTTGCACCACTAAAACAGGTGCAACCATCACAGCTTTGTAAGAAAGTTAACCCTAGTGGTAATGCAGGCATAAGCACCTCCAATGACCATCTTCCAAAAAGTACAAAACTCCCAACATTCCAGTAAATCAAAAGTAAAGCAACGCATTCCCTCTTGAACCAGAATAAATCAGTGGTTTCTGTTCTTACCTGTGTATAGTCAAAGTCAGAAAGAGGAGCTATACTCTTGATGTAGTCCATTCGAAATTGGTTTTCTGGGTTGGCCAATGGAACTGGGGGTATTAAAGTGCTCATAGCTGAAACTATAGTCTAGAATTGGATAAAACAGAAACAAACACATTAATCTGGATAATTCTAGGGTACAGGATCAATAGAAGATAATCCAATCTGATTAGCAAAATGGGATTTCTCTCAGCACAATCTTAGAGAGCACAATCCTTATCATTTCCAGTATACCCAAGCATTTAAGAACAGTATAAAGTGTGTCCTTACCACAATCGCATCTTTAACATTTTTCCGAATATCCAGTATTTTCTGTTTCTTTTCTCTGCATTAAAACAGAAATATTAACACTTTGATTGTTTTCTTCCAAAGCAGTTCAGCCAGTTGCATTTATTTTTTTTTTTACTGATCACTTGTTTACCTGCTCTTCAATAATTACAACTTACTAACTGAAAAGAACAAATACATTTCTCCTCTCATCCCTTTTCTTGCATAGTGTGAAGAGCAATGCACATTCATCCCTGATACGTTTTTTAAAATCAGACAACCATAGCCACATCTGCAAAGCCTCCCCTGATGGAACTGGAAGTCATTCTTTCAATTCTACAGCATGGTGTAAACATGCTTGAAATTAACAATACGTAGTCAAAGGCCAAGAGGTATCTAAAATTAATGTTATGGATTAATAATAATTTCTGGCAAAGAGTTCTTCAGAGAGAAAATGATGTAGCCTCAGAAAATTATGTTTTCTAACAAACATGCAAAATTAGTTTCAGTTTTACACTAACCCCAATACCGGAAAAACAGCAGCCACTGTCACCCTGAATATGACTTGACATGTATTTTTATATTACAGACAGATGCAATATTTAGTTATTTGCTTCTATGTAAAAAGTAGTCGCCATGTTGTTGCTACACAGGGGCCTGTCAAGCGCTGCAGTAGCAACAGTGTAAAATACAGTAAAGGGGCCAGGAGAAAATGCAAATATACAATAGCAGTAATTTCCTTATTTTCGCTCCCCTTCCTCCCCAAAATGCAGTGTCAAGCCACCAAAACACAGGGGATGAGAGGAGACATTTCCTAGCCTTCTGTCTGTTAACCTGTTTCCCACATTTAACAAAAAATAAGTCACAAAGTGTCAATAATTCTTACTCTGAATTAAATCCATTGACATGTAGGATTCGCATTTGTTTCACAATAGTGCTTTTTCCTGACTCACCAGCCCCTAAAAGAGAAAGAAGGAAAGGGAAAACATTGTGATACACGGTTCAGGCTGGGGGCTTGGGGTGGTTTTGGGGTTTTTGGACGCAACAGCATCTCCCACCTCTGGCAGCATTTCTGTATGAATGCACCCATGTGGCTCAGGCACCGAGCATTCAATTTGCGGACACCTCGCATAAATTGCTCAAGACAACAGCCTACATTTTTCATACCTAACAACATCACCCCTCTCGGCTGTGCCCGGGCAGGCTGGGGCAGATGTCCCCTCCTCGCCCTCC